TTATTTATTGCGCAATATTTCGCAATTTTTTGCGCAATATTATGTCCAGACCATAATTATTGCGCAATATTTCGGGCTGTAATAACTTACGTAAAATTACGTTAATATATTTCGCTGATGTAATAAAAACTCAATACACTTTTTCATTAAATAAAATCTCTTGAATCGAATTTATTTTAGGAATTGACATTTATTTAATAATAATAATTTAGTTATTCTATTTATAAATATTTTAAGATTAAAAAAAAAATAAAAAATAATTGTAATAAAAATAATTTATATTTTTTGAATAATATAAGATAATCTTAAATATAAAAGATTATTTTTTGTTTGTTCTTTTAAACTCTTTATATGTAGTTTTTTTTGCCGAAATCTAAATTTACATCTTCATTATAATCGAAATTATCAATTTCTAAATTGTTAGATTTTTTTTTATCAAGTGATTCTTGATAATTTTTTTGAATTTCTTGTTGTTATTGATCAATAATATCTTGTTGAATTGTATGTTTTTGATTGATATTATTATTTTCTTGTTTAATTTCTTCATCTTCTTTAAATTTTTCTTTTTTTCTTTTTTGAATATAATTAGAATTATCAGAATATAAATCTGAATCATAATTTGATTCATCGATTGAAATTTTTCTTTTACTTGTTTCTATTTGAGAATTATCAGAATATAAATCTGAATCATAATTTGATTCATCAATTGAAATTTTTCTTTTACTTGATTCTATTTGAGGATCAAATAACTCTATTGCTATATTATTATTTTTTTTCTTGATTTGGTAATCATTCAAATATAAGTCTTCTTTTCTTTTTTTCTTTTTTATTTTTTAATTTTTGTAAAATATCAGGAAAGGATATTTCAACCAATGGAATTCTATTTACGTGTTCTAAAGGATTTTCTTTTAAATTTTTTCCTTTAATTGATTTGTATTCATCTGAATTTTCTCAATATACTCTTGTGGTATTATAAATTTTTGGAAAATATTTTTCAATTGGTTCAAGAATATATTTGTTTTTTTCTATTGTATAATGTTTTTCCAGTAATAAATACCATCTAGTTCTTCAAATCAGCAATATTTTTTTTTCAATAGTTTTTTTGCTTTTTCTTCTGTAATATTACAATTGAATTCAATTTCAAAATTAAAATTAAAAAAAATTCTCAGGTGTTCCTTTATGGAAAATCATTTGAATTTTACAACAAGAACATTCAAATTGACATGGTTTTTGTTTATCAATTCTAAATTTCTTAAACTCTACAATATAATTTAAACGATTTGCAAATACACTAAATAATTTTGAATTATTAAACTTTTGTTCTGCAATGGGCTTTAATTCTTCATCTTTACAAAAATCATAAATAAATCTAATATTTGTATTAGCCAAGAATTCTATTACTTTTGGACAAAAATTTTCATTTCTCATGCATTTGATTTGTACACTATAATCTTTATTATCGAGAAGATTTAATAGTTCTAAATATTTAATTTGTTCTTTAAATTCATTAATTAAAACCTCTTTATATGAACTATTAAAATCTTGCAAAAACTTTCCATCTGCACTTTTTCTCTTATAAGCATCTGGAAATAAGAGTGAAAATAAATATCCTTTCCCGACTCTGCTTTCATCACTATAAAAAAATATTGTTGAAGGTTTAAAACATCTTTTATTTTTTTTTTTTTCAATATTTTTTATTGCCTGACACAAAGTATAAACATGTTTTGGATTATTTTCAACCTATTTTAAATTTTTTTGTCTATTTTTCACAATAATTTTATCTTCATCTTTATTTTCTATAAATAAGTCATTTATAATTTTTTCAGATATAGCTTTAGTATTTTAATTAACTTTATCAAAACATTTTTGTTTTTTTTTATAATCTTCTAATTTATAATAGAATGGTCTAGATTCAGAATCATATCTTGCTAATGTACGTTGAGAACAATATTCTAAAGTGCACCAAACACATCTATTTAAATCAGTTAAATCATTATAACTATATCGACATATTGCTAAAAAAAATTATATTTCCAGGTTTTTTTGTATTCTCTATTTTAATAATTGCACCTTTTTCTTTACATTTTGGATTATCTTTATCTACTAGTTTATGATTATGCTCTTCACATTTGTTATTTTTTTTTTACAATATAATATTGAATCTTTAACACTTTTTACAGGATCATAATACCATTTTTCTAATGCATTATTAGTTTTTAATTTCTCAAAAACACTTGGAAGATGTTGTTGATTTACCAAACTAAAAAAAGCTTGTATATGACAGTCTCGTTCTTGGTTTGAATTATGGTTCTTCTCATATTGATAGACAAATTCTTTAAAAATACAAGTATCATAATTAGTAAAAAAGTTTTTTATTAAAGCATCAAATTGTGAATGGTCAAAATAATATGAATTAAAATTAAGCTTAGTTATTCTATTGTCTGGCTTTTTGCTCATTTCGAATTTTTAATAAAATTTTCTTGACTGTCTATAGTTAGTTTTCAGTTTTTATATATAAATTTAATATACAGTGTCAAATAACTGACTATCTCTATCGTATATCAAACAAGTGATACTTCTAAATATAGTATAATAATATTATTGAAGCGGAGGAAACTATTCTGTTTAAAGAAAAGGCCAAGAAAGAAAAAGTAGACCTAAAGATCTTTGATACAAAAAAAATAAAAGATACGATCTTTGGGAGTGATCTACAAGAAAGACTAGTAGCGAGAAAAGAACTAATGAAAGACCTAATCACAAAGCAAAGAATGAAAAGAATATGCTCAGTCCTATGGGATCCAACATCGGTTAGCAAGTTCAGCTAAGCAATACTTGACCACGTTAGGGACCGCTTCCACAAGCATATTTGGTGCTTTTGCTGTGATCTAGTAGCTGAATAGGAGGAAGAACACAGTATCGCGAAGACGGAGAAGAGGATCAAGAAGAAAAGGAAAAAGAAAGAACAACAAACAAGGTGGACAAAGAAAATAGCGATCCACAAGGCTCCGAGCATGTCGTGAAAAGAAGCAAAAGAGCTAAAAACAAATTGAAGGAGGGTAAATATGAGGTATTGAAGGAAGGGGAAAAAATAGTTGAAGAGTGGATTGCATAGGGAAATAAACTAGCATGGTCTTCACTGGTCAAGATTCGCCCTAATATTAAGCATTACTGATACAGCATACAATGACCAATTGATGATTGAAGGGGTATCTTTAATCGATATGAAATTCCTAGTAAGTTAGGAATCCTGAGAGAAATAAACAGTTATTATAGCAGATCGCATTGGGCTATTAGCCTGGTAAGTCTTTATTAAAATAGAGCGATATACTATGTTGATGTAGTACTTTGTATAATAGTCAAATAGTAGTTCAAAAAATAAATAAAGGCAGGACCGCTTAATATAAAAAAAAAAAATAGTATAATAATAAAGAAAATTACTACATATCACCACTGGTGATCATTACCGGTCCTAAGATTAGTTAGGGTTAGGGTTAGAAATTAGAGAATTATTGTTTTTTTTTATATAATATATATAACTACTATAAGGGCCCGATAGGGCCCAATCTTAGTTTTTGTGAGGTTTTTGGGGTCCTGAACATTTTTACTTAGAGAACCCGATCCCGTTTACTTATTACGTTTTTGAGATATAGCAACACCGGTGATGATCACCAGTGGTGATAAATAGCAAAATTCAATAATAAAATACAAATATAATATAAAGTATTCAATATAAAAAATTTTAGTAGCATCTAAATATAGTATAAAGTACATAATATAAAAAGTTTTTTCTAGAAGTAGCCAAATATGGTATAAAGTAATTAATATAAAAAAAAAGACAAATATAGTATAAAATAAAGAATATAAAAAAAGATTTACAGAGCATTATCTATTTTTTGCTTTCTTTCTATATGCATTTTAGAGGATATCCTACATTCAGCAATAATTTTCTCAAGATTATGCTAGGTTGGTCGAATAAATGCTTCTAATAACACTTGTAGAGTAGATGTGGGGCTATTCAAATCTTAAATTTGAAGCAAAACAGACAAAAACTCATAGAGATATAACGATTTATGTAAAAATTAGACATCTATGTTTTCACAAAAATTCTCTTGGAGAAAAATATAATTTCGAAGACTTTCATTAATAGGGTTGGTAGGTATGATATTCAACTATTTTGTGGTTAAAATTTCAGATCTCTAGTGTCAATATTGATGATTTGATGAGATTTTTTCATATTGTTTTGCAAATACGAAAATTTTTGATAAAAATGTCTAAAAATTCTTCCTTTGACCCCAGATTTCAAGCACCTACATAATAATGTATGCTCAAATTTCACATACCACTTGAGAAGATTCGTATAATATTTTCTGTAAAGTTTGGTGAAGTTTGAACAAATATTGGTGGAGATCTTAATTTTTTTCATTATGAAAACGCCTATATTGTCTTTGTGTATCACTTTTTACATACGTTTTGATAAGTTTTTTGACTGTAGCAATAAAATTTATTATGTAAACAATAAAAGTGGTCTTATTAAACTAACCTTTTTTTGTCTGTTCTACAACTTTTATTAATATAATTAAAGTGATTTTATTAGTAAAATATCAAATAAAACGTGTTGATGGCATTTTTTCTCTTTTTTCTTTTTTATTTACATATATTTTGATACGGTTTTTGACTATAGCAATAAAATTTATTATATAAATAATAAAAGTGGTCTTATGAAACTAACAGTATTTTTGTCTTTTCTACAACTTTCATTAATGTTACTAAAGTGATTTTGTTAATAAAATTTCGTGTAAAATATAATTTTTAATCTGATGAATTTTTTTATTTAAAAAAATATATTTCTGATCTGTCTAAAATATATTTAGTTATTTACTATGTTTTTCCGACCTGACTAAATTTTTTTTACTATGTTTTTCCGACCTACAAAAAATTTTTACTATGTTTTTATTATGTGTTTCTAACCTGTCTAGTGTCTAGTATCTTTATATATAAAAGAAAAAAAAAATAAATAAAAAAATAAAAATAGACGTAGATTATTATTTATCACATAGGTTTAATTTTTTATATTCTAACTATTATTACTGTCTAAATATAGTGTGTTGCGAGGCAATAGTAAAAAAAACAATAATAACAGTGAAAGTGATGAAAATCTCAATCAATTAACTACAAATAAATTTCGCTGGTTTTGTAATAATATAAAAAATCTTATTAAAGAAAATAATTCTGCACTTAACAAAAGTGTATGCAAGTTTATCAAAGCCTATAAAAAATGCCGTTTGATACAAGATACTCATGTTTGTCCAGCTATTGCTTCTTTTTTTCAAACTTAACCAGAAGGAAGATCGAGTAAATGGTAATAGTCATTAGCGTAGTGGTAAAAGTATTAAAGTTCAAGTTGCTGCAATTGCTAAACATAAAGGAACTTCAAGCAAAGAATGAAAAAAATTACAAGAAAAACCAAGAATAAGTTTACAAGAAACTACATATGAAACTAAAAAGTTAAATCATTATATTATGCCTACACGATTAAAAAGACAGCAAACAAAATGAACACATAATCTAAGTAAGGCCTTGGAAGAAAATCGGCCAAATAGTTTTATATAAAATAATTAGCGGATATATATATCCCTTAAATTGTTTTGCAGCCAAATTTGCCTGCAAACTTTTTTAAATTTTAAAATTTTTTAATAAAATT